GAGCACGCAGCTGAGCCCAGCATAAGGCTGCATCACTGCAGCAGTGAGTGATGTGTGCAGTGTGGTCATGCACAGGAAGGATGATCAGCTAGTGTAGGGATGGGGATGATGGGAAGGGGATGGCAGATAAAGGGGACACAAAATCCAGACCACTTCAATAGGAAGAAGACCTGATTCAGATGTTGAAGATGACTAAGAGCTTATCTAAGGGAATTGGAGGTTTCGCATCAGAAACTATAGAAGTCAGAGGTCAGGCAAATATTTCTATAATTCTGAAAGACAAGAACTGTCAAGACAGAACTCTGTATCCATGAAAATATCCTCAGGGATGAGGGTAAAATAGGCACTCCCAGAAATAAGACATGCTCAGATAGAGGAAAACAAACAGAATTCATGGCCAGCAGGTCTTCCTCTAAAAGGCAGAGAGAAAACGATACCAGGAAGAATTTGGAGCATCAGGATTAAAGGAAGAGCAAGAGAAATGGTAAGTATGTAGATAACTACAGTCGACTTGGCTTCCTCTTGAGTCTTTAATATGTGTAGCAATTGAAAGCAGAAAATATAACTGTCTGATGGGACTTTCAGTGTATGTAGCTGTCATAAGACACGTGCAACATAAGTGGGGGCGGGGACAGGGGCCTGCATGGGTTGGATAACGACATTTCACCGGAAGTGGCAAAGTATTGAGTCCTAGTGACCAAGCAAAGCTCAGCATCTATTTTGTAATCCCAGTGCAATCAGTAAAAGAACAGACAATGCAATGGATATGGGCACAGACATAACAGATAAAGTGAAATGGAACACTAAAAGAATGTTCAAACATCCCAAAGGAAGGCAGGAAAGGGAAAATAGGGTGGGGGACAGAAAGCAAAGAATAAAATGGTAGGCATAAGTCCCTACATATCAATAATTACATAAAGTGAAAATGACCTGAAGGCACCCATTAAAAGCCAGAGAATGAAGTCGGAGCACTCACCCCACCTGATTTTAAGACTCGCTATAAAGCCACTATAATCAAGGCGGTGTGGTATTGGTAACGAGAGACACGGATCAATGGAAGGAACAAAGCAGGGGCTGGCAACTAGGGTCCAAAGACTAAATCTGGCCAGTGGCCTATTTTTGTATGACCTGTGAGCTAAGAATAGTTTTAACATCTTTAAAGTTTTATTTTAAAGAAAAGGATATGAAACAGAGACTACGGTCCAAAAATTCTAAAGTATTTATTATTTGGCCCTTTACAAAAAGTCTTTGTCAATCCCTGGAATAGAGAATCCAGAAATAGGCCACACAAATATGACCAATTTATTTTTGACAAAGGTGCAAAGACAATTCAATGGAAAAAAGATGCTCTTTTCAACCAATGGTGTTGGGAAAACTGAATATCCACAGACAGGGAGGGAGGGAGGGAGGAAAGGTTAGGGAAGTGAAGGGAAGGGAGAGAGTTTTTTGGGACGGGAGGGCAGGGAGAGGCAGGGAGGGGCAGAGAGGGAGTAAGGGAGGGGGACGGAAGGAGAGGAGGGCCATTCTTGAAAAAGTTGTGGACCGTCATTCTGCATTCCACCCGCAGACCAGAGCTGCAGGGGTGATTAGACTGGAGCCAGAGATGAGAAGGGAGTTCATCTTCTTGGGTAAAATGGGGAAGGTGGGAGGGAAATAGAGGGAAGGTGAGAGGCCCTGTCCTCAAAGAGCTCAGGGCCTCGTAGGGGAGATCCCCCCAGTTAGGGAAACCTGTGCAAAAACATAATGACCAAGATAAGCATCTGGCCGCACGCGTAAGTTTGGTGTGCTGTAGGCATCTGAGATGAGAGAGCTGAAAGGTGTTAGAATATCTGGAACTCTGAGAAGCCAAGGCCACGCTGCTGCCCGCTTGTGAGTCAGCTGCAGGAAGGAGGCTGTGGGAGGCATGAGTGAGCTCACCTGGGCACAGCAGAGCCCCAGAGGAGACCCCCAGAAAGTCTTGAGAAGCCCCAGTAAACAAGTGCCAAATCCAGGAGGGTGAGGCTACCAGGGAGTTAAGAAGGAAGGGTAAGAGATGAAGGGGAAGCAGATGTGTGTGTGTATTGGGGGGCTGTGGGGACTGCCAGAGAACCCAGGGAGGAGCATTTCCAGGAGAGGCAGCACAGTGGTGAGTGCTCCTAGTCACCCCTCACTGACTGGATAGGCCTGCAGTCATCCTAAGCCCGTCATTCTCTCATATCCCACAACCAACCTATCAGGAAATCCCTTTGGCTCTAACTTCAGAGACATTCCAGAATCTGTTCACTTTCACCATAACTCTTATGGACCCCTGTGGGGCTTCATGTTGTCCTGGAGCCCATTAGTATCAGCTTCCAAAAAATGTGTTAGTCAGTTGGGAAGCCACTGGCGGGTGAACCTGCCATGATGGATGGGAGCATTTCAGCAGGGAAGGATCACCAGAGCTCTTTCTCCTCCCGCTTGAAGAGCTGGCTTATCAGCACTCCATTCTACTGCGATGTCCCCCTCTTACTCCAGCCTCCTTACTAGTCCATCTGCTCCCACCATCCTCCCCCAGTTTATTCTCATTTTCCACATACTTTCAGATCACGTCACTTCCCTGCTTAGCACTGACCTTGTGCCCCTCCCACCAACCCAAGTCCTCTGGGGCTCCCTCAGACTTCACGGTCTTTCTGCCCCCTCTGCTCCTCTTCATCCACCTAGATCCACCTTCATCCACCTAGACTTGCTGCCCCCTATATACTCCAGGCACATTCTGCCTCAGGACCGTTATACTGACCATTCCCAACTGCCAGAAAGCCTTTCCCCAGTTATACACGTGACTCATGTCTCACCTCCTTCAGGGCTTTGTCTCTTGACCAACCCATATAAAATTATTATTTTTTTATTATTTAAAAATTATTTTTAGGGCCTCCCCTGGCAGCACAGCGGTTGAGCGCCGAGCTGTAAAGCTGCCCGCAGCCTCTGCCCCACAGGTTCAATCCCCGGCCACCAGCGAGGGCCCACGTGGCGCGCAGACCTCTCCTGCCGCCTGCTGCTCCACTCAGCAGTGTACTTCGTCCGTCTGCCTGTTCTGTTCCCCGCTCTGGCTCTGGTGAATTCTCTCACCCTCCTGCGCTTCCGACTATACCCAGTGCTTGTATAAATAAATAAATAAATCTTTAAAAAAATTATTTTTAAAAAGTCCCTGTCTCCTCACCTGCTGTGTAATGGATACTGGCAGAGTGAGCTCGTTGGCGACAGCAGGGCTGTGCTGTGCATGAGGGAGCAGCAGCCAGGTTGGAGACACCAAGGAGTGGGAAGCGGGAAATGAAGAAAGCAGTTAGTGCTCAAGAAGTTTGCCTGCGAAGGGGAAAGGAAAAAGGAACAAATAGCTAGAGAGGGTTTTTGTGATTTTTTTAATGGGAAAGACTTAAGTGTGTTCAAGAGTTGCCGAGGGGGATCCAGCTGAGAGGGAGGGACAGATGGACAAGGGGCAGGCGGAGTATCAGAGTGCATGCTGGGAGCCCAGAAAGGGCCGTCAGCAGGGCAGGGGCGATTGACCCTAGATAAAAGGGACAAGAAGGAAGAAAGGAGGGCAGCCAATGGAGGCAGGCTTGTAGGTTTGCCACTGGGAAGAAAAAAATATTCTGTTCTGAACTTTGACATGGGGTGGAGGTGGTCTTTGGGGAGAGAGGGTCAGAGAGGCAAGAGAATGGAGAGTTTGGCAGAGAGAGTCCTGGGGAGGGAATGGTCCCTGAGGACCCCTGAGGGCATTTCTAATTGAAGGGAGAACCTTCTTCCCAGGAAAGCCTCATTCCAGCAGGGCCGTGCTGCTCAGGGGTGGGAGAGCGAAGGCTGAGCTCGAGTCGTGCACTCCTGGGGCTGGCATGGCCCAGGTCTGTGGCAGCAGCGACCCTCACTGAAACCAGCCCCAGCTGCACACTGTGGGGAGACCCAGAGGGGACTCTTCCCCCCTACTTGAGCATTTTGGATTCCAGTGTCAGGTTAGGACGGGGGGACAGTGCCTCTTTCAGGGAGCTGCCTCGCTCTCTGACAGACTCGTTCAGGGCCAGGGGAGGAGCTAGGTCTAACGGTCTAACGGTTAGGCCTTTACAAGCAAAGGGCGAGCACGTCGGGCGGGCTGCCTTGTCCCGCTGCGCGGCCAGCTGCGGAGCACGAGGTAATTCCCCCGTGTCCTTTATTGCCTGCGCTCGGCGGGAGTGACACCGGGCTCTGCTTTACGAGCTGGCAGCACGGCTGCTATGAGCAGACCCGCTGTCAATAAGGGCTGTGTTTTATATTACGGGCCGGACGATTTATGGGCTGCCCCAGCACTCGGCAGACAGCCATTTGGCCAGAGAGGAAAATGACCTAACACTTAAGAAATTTGGAAGCCAGAAAACGGTGCGTGTGTTGCGTGTGTGTGTATGTGTGTGTGTTGCACACACACGCTTATGCATAGCTATGTCTGTGCCTGCTCAATTTTGTCGACCTGACTTACCAAGTCCTGGAAAGCAGGAACAACTCAGTTAAATACACTGGTTGTAAAAATGAAATGAAATAAAACGATTCATTTCCTTCTGGGGCTGGCCTTTGCATCACATGCTGACAATGAGTTTTTGGGGAAAGAAGTAGGTGACCAGAGGGGGCTCGGTTCCTGCCAAATCAGCCTGGATTCCTTTCTCCCTAGCAAGGTCCAGCTTTGGGCAGAGCACATGACAAAGTCCCAAGAAAGAACTTGTCATATTTTGCTGAAATATCTGTGATAGGTCTGTTTTTCCATCATATTGCAAAGTCCTAAAAAGCAGGGGCATGTCTCACTTGACTGCGCCTGGCACCAGTGTGGGAGATCAGTCAATCTGCCTGCTTGATATTTCCTCTGAGGTCTAATACGTACCCCCAAATTAACACTATCCCCAAACTTTCTTCTCCTTCAGTCTTCGTCTCAGTAGATGGCACCAGCTTTTACCACCCAAGGTAGTTAATTTTGTGTGTCAACTTCATGGGGCTTCAGGATGCCCAAATTTTGATGCAACGTTATTATATCGGTGTGTCTGTGAGGGTGTTTGGGGATGAGATCAACAGCTGAGTGAGCAGACTGAGTAAGTAGCCTACTTTTCCACAGTTACATAGATTATTTCTTTTTCTCCCCACATCCTATAATGTGGTTATGCTGTTCATGCTATTTATATTTCATGTTGGCTTAGCCCCTGGCCCCAGTAATTTCAATTTTACTTTATTTTTTTGGTATTTAAAGGACATCCACAACACTATTATGGTTCTCAGGGTCAGAGTTACTAGAAAAGATATGGCCAGGAATGCGTTATTCCTGCCTCAATACCTCAATACATGCCGTTTTCTGCCCTTTTTGAAGTCCCTTCTTTGCACTCTTAATTGATCTCTTTACTCTGGTTTACCTTTTCTATATTTCTTTTGTAGAAATGAGCAGATGCCTTTTCTTATTTCTTCTGTTGTCAATGAAAGGTGGCACACTATAGACATGACTGTACTACCTTAATAGGGTCTACCGCACTCAGGGGCAGAGAATATTCTAGAAAAAATATATTGACTCCATATCATTTCAAAAGCTCATTCTCACTCTTTATTTTCCTTACCACTGCACAATACTCCACAACCTTTTTTCTGTTCTTCAAACAAGCCAAACGTTTTCCCTGTCCTGGGCCATTAGCACTTGTTCCTTCTACCTGCTGTACTCAGCCTAGAATTTCCCATTGCTGCTTCCTTGGGGATCTTGGCTCAAGTTCCCCTGCTCAGAGAGAGTGTCTCCACCCAATCTACAGTGGCTGTGGTCCCTGTCCTCCCAGTCATTGTATCTCATAGACTTGCATTGTTTTCTTTGTAATCCTCAGCACAACGTGACATCCTCGTGTTTAGTTGCCTACTCATTTATTGTCTGTCGCCCTTGTCCACACTCAAGGACAAACTCCATGTTCTGGGCACTGTCGCATCTATCCTGGCACACAGTTGGAGTTCCATGCATGTTTGCAACAGATATTGTCAGGGTCCCACTCACACATGCTTGGCCCACTCTAGTGGTTCTAGGGAGATAGTTCCTGTCCATACCAATGACTGCTTGTGTCTGTAAGAGGAAACTCTGACCATGACTGTACCTAAGTTAGGGTTTGCCAGTGCTCCAGGAATGGCTCCATCAATAAGGGGCAATTTCCTCAATCCTTGTGAATAATTTTTAAATGTGTTTTAAATTTTAAATGTAGTAGTTTTTAAGCATGTTGTACAAATAACAAACATACATATATGTGATCCAAGATCCCCAGTGGGAATGGCCCACTCAAGAACATATACTCTACTGCCTCCTCTCCCTTCCCCATATCGCTTCCCAACTCACTATGTTTCCCAGCATTGCCTACTATAAATTTCTTTTTTTTAAAGACATTTATTTATACATGCAAAAACTGGGGTGTAAGTCAGAGGTGCGGGGGTGAGAGGATTCACCAGAGACAGAGTGGGGAACAGAACAGGCAGACTGACTGAAATCCACTGCTGAGGGGAGCAGCGGGCGAACCAGGAGAGGTCTGCTATGACATGTGGGTATCTCCTTGGACAGCTGGGGATAGAACTCATGGCTGCAGTGGCTGAACATAGCTTGATAGTGCTGTCTTTAAGCCCTGCACCACCAGGGAGGCCCTACCTAAATTTCTTACAACCGAATTCTTTTCTCAGGTTCTGCTTTTGGGGGAAACCAATCTAAGACTTGCTGAAGTAATAGCCATCTTGATGAGGACCCTCTCAATATGTCATGCAGAGTCCTGATATTGGCCCTTCCCTGGTTAGCATTTTTAGCCACTCAGACAAAAGACAAGAAAGACAAACTGTTCCAAATTTAGGCTTTAATAGGTTGCCTTGACAGAAATCCATATGAAAAAGCCCTGAGCATTGTGCAGGGTCATCAGCCAAGTTGTTCATCATCTAAGAACACTACAGGTGCCTTGGGCTACATGATAAAGGGAAAAGGACCTGCCCTGTGGCCAGGCCACATCAGAGTGTGTGGACAGTCCACAGGGCCGGGTCTATAGTGGGACATTAAAAATTTTTATAAGATCCAAAAGACCTTGATCATGAAGAGCAGGGATATGCAAATCAAGCCATTGAATGGGTATTTGGAAAGGAGAAACCATGAGAAGCTTGGCAAGCATGAGTGCCTATGATGGATAGCATAGAATGTGTTTCCCAGAATTCACAGGTAGTAGGGATGGCCTGAAGATCATTTTAAAATATACTGACCTAAGAGTGAAAGCACTGAAAATGGCAATGTAGGAAAGTCCGGGACTCCATTCCTCCACAAAAGCAACTAATGATATAGCAAAACCTGTAAGAATTAGCTTTTTGCAGAGTTTTGGAATGTAGTCAAAAGTTTACAACAACCGGATAAATACTTTGGGAAGAAAGAAGCTGCTGTTTTCTCATACATGAGTTCCATTGCATTTAAAAATGGCCACCTATCATCTTTCACTCCTCAGATAGGCAACGGCTGTGAAGAGAGCATTCCTTACTCCCGGAGCAGGTTACTAGTGCCAGAGGGAGCAATATAGACCTTCTCAAAGACCTGTAGTTGCTTATTGATCTCTGGCAGTTCTTCGAAGGTCTAAGGCAAGGGTTTGTCTTTGTTTTGCCCAACTCAGAGCATTCCCAGGCCTGAGGTGGCTTCCTGGATGGTGTTTGCCAAAAATATTTAAGGGCATAAATATTACCACAACAGCTGGGAGCAAGGGACAACATTTAGGACAAACAATAGACAAACAAAAAATCCTAGGAAGGAAGTGGTTGAGGAAGGAGATACATGAGGGAATATGGGTTTTGAAAAGCTCCCACATATTCCAGAGTATCGAGAAGTTCACATGAGGGGCATCTCTGGCGGCGCAGGCAGTTGAGCACAGCACTGTGAAACTGTCTGCAGCCACTGCAGTGTGGGTTCAGTCCCAGCCGGTGGTGGAGATACCCACATGGCACAGCAGACCTCTCTTGTCTCACCCACTGCTCCTCTCAGCAGTGTATTTCGTCAGTCTGCCTGTTCTGTTCCCTGCTCTGTCGCCAGTGAATCCTCTCACCCTCCCACGCATCTGGCCTGTCCCCATTCTTGTATAAAAATAAATCTTTTAAAAAAAAAAAAGAGTAAAATTGGACACCTAACTCACACCGCAACATAACGTGATTCAAAATGAATCAAAGAACTAAATGTGAAAACTCTTAGAAGAAAACATAAAGAAGACTATTCATGACCTTGAATTTGTTAATGGAGTCTTAGCTGTGATACCCAAGCACATACAAGCAAAGAAAAAGAAATATATTAGACTTCATCAAAATTAAAATCTTTATGTTTCAAAAGTGAAAAGCCAACCCACGGGATGAAAGTAAATATTTGTATACGTTTGATTAAGAGTCAACTGTCGAGACTATATGAAGAGCTCTTACAACTCAATAGCATAGGATAAGAACCCAATGTTTTTAAATGAACAATTAGCATTTATAAATAAGCAAATGACTTGAATAGATATTTACCAAGGAAAATATACAACATGAAAAAATATTTGATGTCATTAGTTATTAGGGAAATATAAATGAAAACCACAATGAGGTATCACTTCATACCTACCAAATGGAATGTAATCAAAAAGATAAACAATAGTAAGTGCTAGTGAGGATGCAGAGAAATTGGGATCCTTGTACATTTCTACTAGGAAAGTAAAATGTTGCAATTGCTGTGGGAAACAATTTGGAGGTTCCTTAAAAAGTCCAACAAAGAGGGCCTTCCTGGTAGCATAGGGGTTAAGACACAATCTATGAAGCAATCCACAGCCACTGCAGCATGAGTTCAATTCCCGGCCGGCCAGGGAGAAATCCACATGGCGGGGCAGACCTCTCCTGTCTCGCCTGCTGCTCCCCTCAGCAGTGTACTTCAGTCCGCCTGCCTGTTCTGTTCCCCGCTCTGTCTCTGGTGAATCCTCTCACCCCCCACCCCCACATCTCTGGCCTGTACCCCAATTCTTGTATAAAAATAAATAAATCTTTTTTAAAAAAAAGTCCAACAAAGAGCTATGAAATCACTAAGATCATGTAGAGGAGGTTCCTTGCTCTGCTCCTAGAACATCTAACAGACGACACTGCATGAGAAAGTCCTGCAGTCTGGGTGAGGCTGAAATACCCCTGGGAAGCCAGAAACCAGCAGAGACTGCACCAGCAGAGACATGGAGAAGATTTATAGTTCACTGAATAGGAGGTAGATGGAAAGAAATGCCTGCAAACTGCAGTCTGGAGTGGAGAGGGTAAAGTAGGAGAATGGCACAGTTCTATCAAACCTTCAAAAGTGAACTAATAATTATAAAACTCTTCTAAAATTTTGAAAAAGAAGGAATATTCCTAGGCACATATTTGAAACTAACCTTAATCTGATACTAAAAGCGGACAATGAATGCATACAACTCAAAAAAAAAATCATATAAATCCAATCAAAAATGCACAGATATAATGAGGTACCATCTTACACCAGTGAGAATGGCACATATTAAAAAAACTAGCAACAACAAATGTTGGTGAGGTTGTGGAGAAAAAGGAACTCTCCTGCACTGTTGGTGGGAGTGCAAACTGGTCCAACCACTATGGAGAGCTGTGTGGAGATTCCTCAACCTGCTAAAGATGGAGCTTCCATATGATCCAGCAATTCCACTCCTAGGTATTTACCCAAAGGACACAGAAACATTAATTCCAAAGAGCACCTGCACTCCTATGTTTATAGCAGCACTGTTTACAATAGCTAAGCTTTGGAAACAGCCCAAATGCCCAAAAATAGATAACTGGATCAAGAAGATGTGGTACATATACACCATGGAATATTACTCAGCAATCAAAAAAGATAAACACATGCAATTTGCAGCAACATGGATGGAGCTAGAAGGGATCATGCTCAGCGAAATAAGCCAGAAAGAAAAAGAAAAATACCGGATGGTCTCACTCATAGCAGGAATCTAGAAAACTTAAATAAGGGACCAGGAAAAAGAATAACTATAAGAAGAAAATATCAAAATTGATAAACAACTATGAACCAGAGACACTCTATGGTGGATGG